AGAAAAAAGGTGGGGTAAAAAATAAAATAAATGGACAAAAAAAGAGAGAAAAAGGAGCTGCGGTGTCCCCGTTTGGTCCAGGATCGGGACATGGGGGGGGACAGCGATGTCGCCGATGTCGCCGATCCCGGAGGGTCCCCGGGGTGTCCCCGGGGGGGGGGAGGGGAAGGTGGGGGAGGGGCCGGGGTCCTGCGGGCTCTGCCCCCCCCGGGGGCTTCATACGGGACCGGCTCCCTCTGCCCCACGGCCGTCACCCTCCCCCAATCCGGGGTGTCCCCAAGCCGGGGTGTCCCCAAGCCGGGGTGTCCCCAATTCGGGTGTCCCCAAGCCGGGGTCCCCATTTTGGGGCATCCCTAATTCGGGATTGTCCCAAATTTTGAGGTGTCTCAAATTTTGGGGTCTCCCCACTTTGAGGTGTCCCTAGCTCGAGTTGTCCCCAATTTTGGGTGTCCCCCAGCTGCAGTGGCAGCACCCAGAGGTGACCCCTGGCCGGGGTGGGGGACAGGACACCGAGAGGGTCCCTGTGGCTCCAAAGGGACCGGGACAGGGACGGAGGGCAGGGGGGTGGCACTGCTGGGGTATCCCCTGGGTGCCACCCCCCAGAGGGGACATTTGACCATAAAGTGCAAACGGGGACGGCCCCGGGATGGGGACAGGGACAGGGACAAACCGGGGGGTGGCACTGGGAGGGGACAGCGGGGGTGGCACCGGGAGGGGAGGGGACCTTGGGGCCACCACTGGGATCAACTGGGGATATCGGGGCCATGGCTGTGACCAGCTGGGGACATCGTGGCCACCACTGAGACCATCTGGGGGACATTATTGTGGGGTGACCAGGGCCACCACGGGGACATTGCTGCAGGTTCACCAGGGCCATCTTGGGGACATCGCTGTGGGGTGGCTGAGGTCACCACGGGAACATCACCGGGGCCACCCCCCCCGACCCCAGGCAGCGTCCCCAGGGTCACCTCAGGTCCCCTCGAGGTCCCCAAATGTCCCCACAGGCACTTCCAAACCCCTCCAGCCACCCAAGGCCACCGAGGAGGGGACACGTGGCACCACAGCTCCGTCTCCTCGCCCCGATGGGAACGGGAACAAAAACCAGGTGGGAAAATGGAAAAAACGGGAAAAAAAGGGGGAAAAAAACCGAGAAAAAAAAACGGGGAAAAACGGGAAAACGGCGCAGAAAAATCTGTCCCAAGGCTCTGGTGCTCCCTGTGGGCTGCCCGGATCCACTCGGGATCCATTTGGGATCCTTTCGGGATCATTTTGGGATCCTTTTGGGGTCAGGGGGATCCGAGCGTCCATCCCGAGGGGATCCTGAAGGGACGGAGGGGCCGGGGGGATCCTCGGGGGATCCTTGGGGGGTCCTGGGGCGTCCTTGGGGGGATCCTCGGGGGTCTCGGGAGATCCTCGGGGGGATCCTCGGGGGGATCCTCGGGGTATCCTCAGGGGGATCCTCGGGGGGATCCTCAGGGTCCAGTCCCAGCCGAGCCGGCCCCGCTACTGTGGGAACGGGATCAGGGGGATCCGGGGGGGGATGCAGGGGGATCTGGAGGATCCGGGTGGGATCTGATGGAGTCATGTGGACTCTGAAGGATCCTGGAGGGATCTGGTGGAGCCAAGTGAGATTGGGATGATCCAGGAGGACTTTGAAGGATCCAGACGGGATCTGCAGGATCCAGGAAAGATCTTGATGATCCAGGCGGGATTTGGTGGAGCCAGGAGGAATTCTGAAGATTCTGGAGGGAATCCGGGTGGGATCTGATAAATCCAGGAGAAATCTGGAGGATCTGGGTGGGATCTGGAGGATCCAGGAGGGATTCTGAGGATTCTGGAAAGATTGGGAGGATCCAGGAGGGATCTGGTGCTGAAGGGGAGCCTTGGATGCTTCAGAAAGTGCCAGAGAGGAGCCGGGGCCTCGGTGCCAGGCTGGAGCCGGGACCTGGTTGGGATCTGTTTGGGATCTGGGGTCAGGAGTTGGGATCCTGGAATCTGAGCTGGATCCTGGCTGATTCCTGGCTTGATCCCGGTGGATCCCAGTCCATTCCCAGTGGATCCCAGTCCGTTCCCGGTGGGTCCCAGTCCATTCTCGGTCCATTCCCAGTGGATCCCATGGCTGTTCCCCATCAGTTGCTGCAGCCCTGGCCCTGGCTGTTCCCGAGCAGTTCCCATCGAATCCCGGTCCATTCCCGGTGGATCCCAGTCCATTCCCGGTGGATCCCAGTC